TTTGTTTTGTTTTTAAGGTCCAGTTAAGGTGCTCTGTTGAATTTCTCAAGCCATTCCTATGACAAACTCCTGGGCCGGGGTGGAGCTGCTTGCAGAGTTCCATGCCTTTGTCCTGTCCTGCCCCTGCAGAGTGTGTGAAGGATTTGATTCGGTACTTGAGGCATGAGGACGAGACCCGAGACATACGGCAGCAGCTGGGGGCAGCCCAGATCCTGCAGAGTGACCTCCTGCCCATCCTCACCCAACACCGCCAGGACAAGCCTCTCTTCGATGCTGCCGTCAGGTTGAGTCCCCAGGCTTTTGTCTTCAAGCCGCTGGGTGTTGGTGTGGGTGCTTGGGGAGGAGGTTCTACGACGTCTCGCACCACCATTGTCCCCACAGGCTGATGGTGAACCTGACCCAGCCAGCCTTGCTCTGCTTCGGCAGCCTTCCCAAGGAGCCCAGCTTCCGGCACCATTTTTTGCAAGTGCTGTCCTACCTGCAGGCCTACAAAGAGGTGTGGCTTTCCTGCTGGCTCCCTGGGGCAGAGTTCTCGGGTAGTAAGGCAGTAAGGTAGAAGGGTAGTAAGGCAGGAGCGAGGGGTGGTATTTAAGGCCCCTTCTCCCATTCCGCAGGCCTTTGCCAGTGAGAAAGTTTTTGGCGTTATCAGTGAAACCTTGTACGAGCTGCTGCAGCTGGTAAGCATGCCTCCAACTGACATGATCCCGTGGGCCAGTTAACACCTTATAGCTCGCTTGCCTCGGTAGCGCTCCAGCCTAGGCATGAGAAGAAGGGGTCATGCCTGGAGATGTGATTCTAGCCTTTGGGAATACAGTTGTCCCCTCCCTCGCTCTGTCTGCATCGGGGTTGCTTGAACGTTCCCTCCTCTTGCTTCTGGATCCCAGTGCTCGTGCACGCCCCCGCCCTCCAGCCAGAGGGGGTGCCCCTGCGTGCCGTGTGGGGCCTGCGTCTCACTCTCCTTCTTCGGACCAGGGCTGGGAAGAGCGGCAGGAAGAGGACAACCTGCTGATTGAGCGGATCCTGCTGCTGGTCCGAAATATTCTGCATGTCCCCGCCGACCCCGATCAGGATAAAGTAAGAGCGTTGGGTAGGCTGAGTTCGGTCCTGGTTGGGTTTCGGGGCCCATTTTAGGCTTCTCTGTCTTCCAATGAGATGGGGCAAAGAAGCGGGGTTATTGGAATGAGTGGAGAGCATCAGGGCAGGGCAGTAGAACCGAATGGCCCTCCCTAATCCCCTCCCCACTCACTGCTCAGAGTATCGATGACGACGCCAGCGTTCATGACCAGCTTCTCTGGGCAATGCACCTCAGTGGCCTGGACGACCTGCTTCTTTTCCTGGCCAGCACACCGGCTGAACAACAGTGGAGCTTGCATGTGTTAGAGATCATCTCACTTATGTTCCGTGACCAGGTGAGACCCTGGACTGTTGCCCCAGTCCTCTCTACCCAGGTCCTTTCCCGTTCTGTTGCCAGAATTAATTGTTCTCGAAATAACCGCTACGTTATCTGCGGTCCCCGTGGGTCTGTCAGCCGCCCCAGAACATGAATTCCCGTCAGTTTAGTGGTCCTCACTCTTCTGTCTGTAGTAGAAGACCGACAATGAAGAGTGATCATCCTTTTGACTCTCCCCTCCTTTCTGCAAATCTAGAACCCCGAGCAGCTGGCAGGAGTAGGGCAGGGACGCCTGGCTCAGGAGAGGAGCACAGATGTGGCCGAGCTGGAGGTGCTGCGCCAGCGAGAGGTAGCGGAAAAGAAGACCCGAGCCTTCCAGCGAAGCAACAGGTGGGTCTCTCCCCACGCTCCCTCTCCTGGGCTGGGCCGTGCTGACGGCCCTGGGCCAGTCGAAGCCCGTGTGGCCGGACAATTGTACTGCACGCGGATGTGCTGAGGAAATTTGAGAACAGGGATAAAGCTTCCAATGAATTGAGGACTCACCCCGAAGGTTTTTGTTTTTCTCCTGTAGGCATTCTCGATTTGGGGGTTCCTACATTGTCCAGGGTCTGAAATCCATTGGGGAGAGGGACGTCATCTTTCACAAAGGTCTTCACAATGTGAGTATGCTCACGTCTGGGGCAGGAATGCCGTGGGGCTGAAGGACCAGACCGCAGAAGGGAACGTTTCTCTGAAGGTAGAGCTTCTAGGTACTTGGGCCTAGAGAGCTGGAGACGGTAAAAGGGAAAGGGCCGTGGGCATAAGCCATATTGTCCTCACTTCTGTCTTTACGTAGACCCAAACAAAGGGAGAGAACCTACTAAGAGTTTCTTGTGAGAGAATTGTAGCCCCAGGAATCTGGGGAGAGGGGAGAGCGCTGGCCAGGATTAATTCTAGCCCCGCACCCTACATCCCCAGCTCCAAAACTACAGTTCCGATTTGGGGAAGCAGCGGCGAAGGGTCCCTAAACGGCGCCAGGCTGCCCGGGAGCTGTCCACTCAGCGCCGCTCGGCCCTCAACGTGCGACTCTTCCTCAGAGACTTCTGCTCCGAGTTCTTGGAGAACTGTTACAACCGGCTCATGGGGGCGGTGAAGGTGAGGACCTTGGACGGCTAGAACTGGGGAGGAGAGAGGAGAGGGGAGAGGGGCTGGGGGAGCAGGTGTGGATAAGCAGAGCAACTTGGGGAGGAGCCCGTGGTGTGAGGCCGACCCAGGCAGGTGTGTGGACCAGGAGGTGGGAAGGGTTTAGAGTAGCGGTTCTCAACCTGTGGGTCATGACCCCTTTGGGTGTCGAACGACCCTTTCACAGGGGTTGCCTAACACATCCTGCATATCAGATATTTACAGGACAACTCATAACAGCAAAACGACAGTGATGAAATAGCGATGAAAATTGTGTTATGGTTGGGAGGGTCCCCACAACATGAGGAACTGTTTGAAAGGGTCGCGGCATGCAGAAGGAAGGTCGAGAACCGCTGGTTTAGAGGCTCCTGCGAAGCGTTAGGGAAAGATGTCAGCAGGGAGGTCTTGGTGACAAAAGAGGCTCTGGAGAAATTGGCCCCAAAGAAGGGGAAAGAATGTGGAGAGACTCAAGAGAGGTGTTGGAACTTGTGGCTCCCAGAGCCCTGTCCCAGGGTGTGCAGGGTGCCCGCTGCCGTCCCGGGACGGGAGGACGTGGAAAGCCCTGAGGTCCGAGCCGGCCTGTGTTCTCTGGGCATCAGGATCACCTGCTTCGGGAGAAGGCCCAGCAGCACGACGAGACCTACTACATGTGGGCGTTGGCTTTCTTCATGGCCTTCAACCGAGCCGCCGCCTTCCAGCCAGGCCTGATTTCCGAGACCCTCAGCGTCCGGACCTTCCACTTCATTGAGCAGAACCTGACCAACTACTATGAGATGATGCTGACCGACCGCAAGGAGGCCGCGTCCTGGGCACGCCGGTGAGGCGGGTGGGCGCTGAAATCAGCGTGGGCATTCTTGGCCAGACTCTGGCTGCCTGAGCCCTGGGTGATGTCCCCATCCCATCCCCCCCTTGTTCAGCCTGGGAGACCGGGACTGTTTTGGGGAGGAGTAGGTTTTTCATGCAGGGGGTGCTGCGTTGATGAGCCGGAGCCTTGAGTGAGTCTCCAGATCATCCTTTGTCCTGGCCTCGCAGGATGCACTTGGCTCTGAAGGCCTATCAGGAGCTGCTGGCCACAGTGAACGTAATGGATATGTCCCCGGACGAGGCCGTGAGGGAGAGCAGCCGCGTCATCAAGAGTGAGGCCCTGGTCTGGTCCCCCCGCCCCCGGCCAGAAGCTCTCTTCCCAGCCCCGTCCACCTCTTGCTCCTGAGCTCTGCAGACCAGCCCTCTCATGCCTCGCTCTTCCCTCTTCCTAGACAACATCTTCTATGTGATGGAGTACCGAGAACTCTTCCTAGCGCTCTTCCGAAAATTCGATGAGAGGTGCCAGCCCCGCTCCTTCCTTCGTGACCTGGTGGAAACAACCCATCTTTTCCTCAAGATGCTGGAGCGGTTCTGTCAGAACAGAGGGAACCTGGTGGTGCAGGTAGTGGGCAGCCCCAGGGTGTGCGAAGACCTGGAGGACCGCAGAGGAGCATGGGGGGCGCTCTTTCATCTCACATTTCCTGCAGCTCAGTCGTGTCCATTAGAACCGCTCTGAACCCGAAAGACCAACGGTTGGTTTGTGTCACCACTGTCCTCGTTCCTTGTTGTGGTAGTGCTACCCCATTTGCTGCTACTATTGCCAGTGAGCGATTCTAGCTCGTAGGGACTCGATATAGATTTGCCGTAAGTAACTGAAGTCCACGCAGCAAACATTAATTGAATACCGATCATGTACCTCGGCACACAGGCCCTGAGAACTGATCTCGGAATTTAATTTTGCTGTAGGGTTTCCTAGCTGTGCCCGCAGCACTGTCCTGAGATGGTAAGAGCCGCAAAGGCAGGCGCTCTGGGACCTCGTCCTGTGGGAGTCACTGGTAGAAAAAGTCAAGCTGCTGCTCTTGTTCGTCCCCCAGCTCCCTAAAACCGGAATGATAATCTGGCTCTGATTCACTCCCACTTACCACCTGACTCGGCAACTCTGCCCCTGTGGGTTTCCGAGACTCTGAAGTCTTCCTGGGAATAGAAAGCCTCACCTTTCTCCCGAGGAGCAGCTGGTGGTTTCAAACTGCTGACCTTGAGGCTGTCAGCCCGGCAGGGAGCCACCACACCCCAGGGCTCCTGGTTCTCTGAATAAAGGACTTTGTTTGGGGGGGATGGCGTGAGTTTTGCACCAGAAGCTTCCTATCATTTCAGTTGTTGCCGCTTAAAATCCTGTTAGAACTGAACTTGAAAGTGGTGCCGGTGCAGCTTTGTTAAACGGGATGTTTACACTCCAAGTTCTGGGGTATGATCAGAAGCGGCAAAACACAAAAGAAAAGCTCTTCTGGCTGCGAGTCCATCGGACTCCTGGCAACCCTGCAGGGCAGGGCAGAGCTGCCCCTCGGGTTTCTGGAGGTGGACCTCCTCATCTCCCTCCTTCAACCCCCCTTTTGTTGGCACCACCTGGGCGGCTCCCCACTCACGTTAGGTGCTCCCGGGTGCATGCGATCTCAGACGCTGTGGCTTTTATGCAATTCTCACAACCACCTAAGGGGATTTGCATCGAGCTGTTCTGCCATTTTGTTTAACATGTTGCATGTAAGTGTCCAGAATCAGGCCTCAGATCCAGATCTTCTTGGACTTCAGAGCTTGCCCCCTCCATCTCCAGTGTCTGGTGGTCACTTCCTTGAATGGAGCATGAGTCCTCTGTACTATGAACCTCAGGTCCCGGGCCATCTTATAGGCCTTTTGAGGTCCCATGCCAGAGACTGTGACTTGTGGGGAGGTAGGATTTGAGTATTGACTCTATTTTCTTGCTTTTTAAGAGAGAAAAAGAATTAGCGTTTCTATTCATGTAGTGCTTCCCATATTTCAAAGCCTTTTCATGTAGAACTTCTTCTATATGATCCTCCTAGCTCCTCAGCTTCCTCCACAGGCTTCTGCTTATGGTGTCCCCACCTTTAGGGATTCTCTGAACTGGGCCAGGTGCTGTTCCTGTGTTCCAGTCCCACATTTCATGCTCACCGTCTTGTAGCTCTCATCCTCCCTCACTGTCACCCCATTACTTGTTTATCGATCTGTCCGGTTAGTTAATTTTCCCATCGGGAGAAAGGCCTCCGTGCCACCCTGTGTTCTCACACGGTTCTCTTCCCTCTAGAACAAACGAAAGAAGAGAAAGAAGAAGAAGAAGAAGGTGTTGGACCAGCCTGCTGCTTCTGGCAGTGGCCCTCTCAGCCCAGAGGAGCTGGAGGCTATGTGGCCAGCCCTGGCTGAACAGCTACAGTGCTGCCCCCAGGTAGGTGGTCGCAGAAGTCCTGTCTTTCCTGAGCGGGTGCCCTGGGTAGACCATCCTGGTTTCCCTCCTCTCAGCTCCCGAAGCCTTGTCTTCCTCCAGGCCCCGGAGCTCAGTGTGGACTCTGTGGTTCCCTTTGACGCTGCCTCGGAGGTGCCTGTGGAGGAGCAGCGGGCAGAAGCCATGGTGCGGATCCAAGACTGCCTCCTGGCTGGCCGGGTGCCGCAGGCTCTGCGCCTCCTGAGGTCTGCTCGGTAAGAACTGGCCTCCCAGCTCCTGGGCTTCAGGGCCACAGGAGGCTCTCAGGCTTCAAAAGAGAGGCGCCCGTCAGAATCTCGGGGCTCAAGACTGAGCAGTAGGTCCTGGGGGGTTGATGGTGGTGGCTGTTTTGAGACTGACCAGAAAGCACAGTTAACTAGGAAAAAAAATAAAAATAAACTAACCATACTCGTCAGAGATAACCGTTATTAACCTTTGATGAGTAACCTTCCTGAATGTTTCTCCCCCACTCTGTGGTCTGTAGACTGACTGTACCCATGCCCTCTTTTACAAAGAAGAAATGCTGCACGTGCTGATTAGTATCTTTCTTTTCTTCACTTATCAATACATTGTGAGCACCATTTTTGCTCAGATACGTTCCTATAATTGTTAATGGCTGTGAAATACCATTATGTGACTATGCACATTTGCATAAATTAAGTAGATTGTGTGTCTTTTGTTCTTCTATGATTTCCATTGGAAGGTGGCTTAGGAGATTTGTTTTAGTTTCTCCTAGAGTGTTTTTTTTTAATTGGAGAATGTTTTGTTGCATGTATGTTGCAGATATCGTCGCAGTCCATAATTCTTGTTTTTTGTTACGAAAATTGAGTTCACTAAAAAACATCCCCACATTCCAGAACTCAAATAGATCATGCATACTCATACAATTGCTACTACAATCAGTTTCAAAGCATCGAATTTCTCCTTGAGCGCTTTGATATCAGCTCCCCTTTATCCCCTCCTTCCCCAGAACCCTTGTTGTTGTTATATATAATCATTATGATTCTGTTGTTTATATCTTAATATACATATGATTGGTACATGATCTTAATTGTACACGTGACCATACACAGGTCTGACAGTATTGATGGAGTGAACCCTATGCCTTAATAGTTAGAGCAGAGGAAATATTAAAGAGCTAGAGGAAAGTTATGTGTTTTATCAGTGCATCCCGCACCCTGAATGCCTCACCACCACCACCACCCCTGGGTGCCCCCTCTGTGAGAGCCTGCCCCTAGAGTTCTTTTGTTTAATCTTTGAGGTAACCCTGCATTCTCTTTCTGGCTAATAAATGAAATAAGTCTGAATCACTTCTCCCAGGTCCAACTGTCCCTCAGCTTCTCTCGGTTTAAAATCTTGTGTCTCTCCGCACCCCAGGGAGGTGTGGCCAGAAGGCGATGTGTTTGGCTCTGAAGACATTTCCCCAGAGGAAGAGGCCCAGCTGCTGAAGCAGATCCTCTCTGCGCCTCTTCCCCGTGAGTTTCCATTCCCTTCCCAGCCGGGACCAGCCAGCTCCCTTCTAGCATGTGAGTGACCCAGTCCCCCACTCACTTTTCCTATAGGGCAGCAGGGGCCAGAGGAACACGGGGTGGAGGAGGAAGAGGAGGAAGAAGAGGAGGAGGAAGAGTTGCAAGTGGTCCAGGTGTCGGAGAAAGAATTTAATTTTCTGGACTACCTGAGACGGTGCGGGCCAAGAGGACCGAGTTGGTCCGGGGGTGGAGGCTGGAGCCATGAGGGTGAGCCCTGTCCTTAGGCTGACGCCCTCTCCCGCCCTGTCCTGGTGCAGCTTCGCTTGCTCGACCGTGGTCCGAGCCTACGTGCTGCTGCTGCGGAGCTACAAGCAGAACAGTGCCCACACGAACCACTGCGCTGTCAAGATGCTGCACCGCCTGGCCCACGACCTCAGAATGGAAGCCCTCCTTTTCCAGCTGTCCCTCTTCTGCCTCTTCAATCGTCTGCTCAGCGACCCTGCCGCTGGGGCCTACAAAGTGAGCGACTCCCACGGAGTGGTGGTCTGAAAGAGTATGGGAGCTCTGGGATCAGAGGCAGTCTTCAGGGAGATACGGGATGGTGAGGGGTGTCAGGGCCTGGGAGAGAGAAACCTGGGAGGAAATGGTTGAGGGAGCTGCATGGGGCAGGATGCTGGAGAGGGTTACGAGGGAGCTGGAGCAGAGGTAGAAGGAATGCCTAACGGGCCAGTTTATGCATGCATCTGTGCCTCACACCTCCAACCACCTCCTTCTCCCCTAGGAATTGGTGACTTTTGCCAAGTACATCTTGGCCAAGTTCTTTGCACTGGCTGCAGTCAACCAGAAAGCCTTTGTGGAACTGCTGTTCTGGAAGAACACAGCTGTGGTTCGAGAAATGACCGAGGGTTATGGCTCCCTGGATGGCGGGTGAGCTTGAGGCCAGGGAAAGATGGGCAGACGGTGGACACAGTCTCAGCCCAGAGCCTTTATGTGCTCTTTCCCCTGGTACCTCAGCTCCTCTCCTTCCCCGGGGTCCCCTCCATCCCTGCAGAACGCACCTTCACAGGGCTAGCTTGGGAAATCGCTTCATTTGACCTCTGTCTTCTTAAGTGGGAAGAGAGCAAGGAGAGGGAGGACGCATGCCCTTCACTTCTGCTAACTCGCTTCTTGGAGTTAGTTGCATCACCCTTTAGAGCAGGGGTCCTCAAACTCTTTAAACAGCAGGCCAGTTCACTGTCCCTCAGACCCGTTGGAGGGCCGGACTCTAGTTTTAAAAAAACAAACAACTGTGAACAAATTCCTATGCACACTGCACATATCTTATTTTGAAATAAAAAACCAAACGGGGCAAAAACACCCGGTGGGCCGGATAAATGTCCTCGGCGGGCCGCATGTGGCCCGCGGGCTGCAGTTTGAGGACGCCTGAGTTTAGATGAGCCCTCTGGTCTTGGCAACTTGTTCCTTTCAGAGCTGAGTAGGACAGGCCTTTGCTTTTCTCCTTTGGGGCCAACAGCCTTGTGTTTCCCCTGACCCCTTCCTCCATGAAGGTCTTCCGGTCGCAGACCTCCTGCGTGGAGCCCAGTGGAGGAGGCCCAGCTTCGGGAACTGTACCTTGCCCATAAGGACGTGGAAGGTAGGAGGAGGCCTGGAGCCAAAGCAAAAGTCAGCCTGAGCTCCTGGGCCCCGATTGACTGCCGACCTCCTTCTCCGCCTCAGGTCAGGATGTGGTGGGTATCATCTTGGCCCAACTGACCACTGCTCCTCGAACCCGCAAGCAGGTCATCCACCATCTGGTGCGGCTGGGGCTGGCCGACAGTGTCAAGGACTTCCAAAGGTAGAGGACGTGCCTGGGAGGAAACGGGGGTGGGGAAGCCTCTGTTCCCTCCCTGAGCCCCCTCTCGCGCTCATCAGGAAAGGAACCAATATTGTCCTGTGGACGGAAGACCAGGAGCTGGAATTGCAGCGGCTCTTTGAGGAGTTCCACGGCTCGGATGGTAAGTCGGGTGGAGGCTCGTGAGCCTCTAAGACAACAGCGGTTCCCAACTTGGGGGTCGAAGGACCCTTTCACAGGGGTCGCCCGATTCATAACAGTCGCAACATGACAGTGATGAAGTAGCAATGGAAATAATGTTAGGTTTGGGGGTTCACCGCAACCCGAGGAGCTGTATGAAAGGGTCACGGCATGAGGAAGGTGGAGGACCACTGCTCTGAGATGAGAGCCGTGCCGTTCCGTGTTCTTCCCTCTGTCTTATTCTCAAGGAAGGATCACCCCCATCTTTCCTCTCCGATTGCTGTATTTATAGGGTCACATTTGGAAGAATAAAGTTAAGGTCTTCCTAGAGAGCCCTGATTCTCTTTCGGAATCCCTCCCCCGTTGCTGTTGGGGAGTCACACGTTCCCTCTCCTCTAGATGTCCTGGGTCAGATCATGAGGAACATCACAGCCAAGCGCTCCCGGGCCCGAATAGTTGAGAAGCTGATGGCCCTGGGGCTGGTGACTGAGCGGCGGGAGCTGTACAAGAAACGCCGGAAGAAGTTGGCACCCTCGAGCGTGGTAATGATCTCCTTCCGGCTCTGCCCACGTGGGCCACTGAAGTGCCCCTGAGAAGTCGTCCGAGCGATTCTCCCCGTCTCAGGCTCTTTTGGTAGATCAGTTCCTCGTCTGGCCTCCTTTTCTCATTTCCCACTCCAATGATTTTCAGCCCAATGGAGAAGAGTCTCGGGAAGACTTTTACCCGGAAGAGATGGAAGAAGAAGAGAAGCTGTCGGGGGAACAGAGTGAAGAAGAGGAAGAGGAGGGCTGGGGAGCAGATGAAGGCCAGGGGAGCACAGTCCTCCCAACTGAAAGCCTTAAGCAAAACCTGCAACAGGAAGGTGAGGCTTCGGGTCGGGGGGAGAACTCAGATGAGAGCCTTGGGAGCAGGGGGCCCACGGCTTTTCCTCCTCCTCCTAGGCCTTTCTGCTCCCATCCTGTGGCTCCAGAGCTGCCTGGTTCGAGCGGCAGATGACCGGGAGGAGGATGGTAAGTGGGCAGCTGAGGATGGCGGTGGCTGGGGACCTGGTCACGGCATGGAAGACGGGGTCTTTCTTCTCCACATCCTCACCGTGAAACCACTGACCCCGGTCCAGGTTGTTCCCAGCCAGTTCCGTTGGTGCCGCTGACTGAAGAAAACGAGGAAGCCATGGAAAATGAACAGTTTCAGCAGCTGTTACGCAAACTAGGGGTTCGGCCCCCTTCCTCTGAGCAGGTAAATTCACCAACTACCATTGCTAGCACGGGCATCATGAGGGAAGTGACTCCTGCCTCCAGAATGCAACCCTTCTCCCTCGTTACAAATTGCTGACCAAGACTGGCAGCCGCTAGTCGTCCGTTTCTGGGTTCATCTTGTCTTCCACGCTGCCTGCCCGAGTTATGTTTCTAAAATGCAGTTCCGATGAGGTCAATCCCCTGTTCAGAGCACAGCTTGCAGGACAGAGTCCCGAGTGGCAGGGTGGCAGGGCTGGTTTGGCCCAGGGGCCTTTGTAGTCTCACCACCAGGCCACATGCTTTACACCCTAATCATCCTGGACTACTTCCAGTCTTCCACAAGCAGGTCTCTTTATGTCTCACCTGGTTGTCCAGACACACACACACGTTTGTGCCTTTCTGATGAACCCAGCCTTTAAGACTCAGCTCAACTGTCTCCTCTTCGGAAGAGCATCCCCTACTCTCCTTTAACTCATGACGCTAAGTATACACGTGGGCAGTTGGAATTTATTCATTCCCTTGACATGTCCCCAACTGTATCTTACTAGGCCGTGGAGTCTGTCCCGTTTACCGTCAGTCCCCAGCATCCATCCATTCATTTCTTCATTTGCCCAACAATAGATTCACTGGGAACCGCTTGATATGGCAGCCATTGGTTCTAGACTTGGATCGTAGATAAAGGAGCGTAAGTGAGGTTCCCGGCCCTTGTGGTTCTTGACGAATGTAGGCTCAGTCAGGTTGAGTCAGCGAATGCTACCAAAATCTGAAGACGGGGATCCTGATCCTTCCCCTCTGCTGTGGTTTCCGCCTCTTGGCTCCTGTAGGAAACCTTCTGGCGAATCCCAGCCAAGCTGAGCCCCACTCATCTCCGGAGAGTGGCAGCTTCCTTGAGTCAGCAGGAGGAGAAGGAAACCTTGCAACCAGACGTGGAACTTGCAGTCCCCGGGGAGGAGGAAGGGGGGCATGAAGAGGAGCACCAAGCACAGGCCCTGAGACCCCTCCTGTTAGCCCGGAAAAAGAAAGCAGGCGTGGCGCCTCCCACAGGTAGTGGCGCGACTGTTCCTCTCCTGGATGCTGACTGTGCCAACCATGTTCATCTAGGGGGCTGATGGGGTGTTTCGAGGAAGTGAGGACCCAGTCCCCTCAGTCTCTGCCTCTTCTGTGGCTCTTCCAGAGGAAGGGGCTGCTACTAGTGGGACGGAGCAGCTGCTGGTAGCTCCCAAGAAGCGACAGCTGCTGGACAGTGATGAAGAACAGGAAGGAGAGGGCACGGGCAAAGGTAGGCATTCTGAGTGGAACCTTCATCTGTCTTCTTCCCTCTACCACGCCGATAGTCAGCCTTCGAGGCAAAGTCCCAGCCTCTTCCCCCTAAACATACTGCGACATTCTCTCTGTCCCATACCATCCCCTTAGCACCGGAGCCGGGAGCTGCAGGAATCCGAAGGAAGAGGCGGTTTCCCATTGAGGATGAGGACGAGAACGACTGAAGAGCCAGAGGCCAGGGGAGAGACAAGCCCGTTTGTAGGGGGTGCGTGAATTAAAGTCGACGTTGAGAAGGGGTCACACAGGAGCCAAGGTTACTCTTGATGGACTGAAACGGTCCATTTAGGTACAGCACTTGCTGGCCACAATGCTGAACTCCTCTGCACCTGTTTTATCCCTACGCCCTGGAGAATTACTCCTCCCACCTCTCCATACAAGTGACGATTAGCGCCCCTTAGCTAATGCGAGGAGTGAGTGAGGTAAAGAGGGCACCCTGGATCCCCATATGGCTCTGTTCCTCTGGGTTCTCTGCTGCAGGTCGGTCCCAGGTCCAAACGGGAGCTTTAGGACGCCATTGAGCGGTGGGGATTTTCCATCAAATCCCCACCAGGGGCTCCCATGTTCACTTCCCCCCCTGTGGCTACCCCATAGACACCACATTTAGCACACGTCCTGTAGCTGATGTAGGGTTGTCATGTGGTCACCTCCTGTTGATGAGTGTTTTGTTTGTGGTTTTTACTGAATTAAACAAATAAAATTGAAAGTTGGTCCGCCTCGTCAACCTGCCCATCTCCAGGTCCTCCCCGCCCTTCTCCTGCTATCCTCTTGGGAGAGCTGCACTGAACGGTTAAACGAATCAATAGTGCTCCTTTCTGTTTTCCAACCCCCCACACCCCGATTGGAAGCCACAAAAATCAACCTTAAGTTCTTGTGTGTGGGATAAATCTGTGGATAACCAAGTACAAAAACAAGGCGAAGACCCTGGTAACGGCTGATAAACCTATATCGATGCATTGGCCTATTCAGGACATTTCATCTATGTGAGATTAGAACACATTGGCCCTTTTGTGTCTAATTTATTTTACTCCGCATGATGTTTTCAAGGTTCTTTCATGTTGTAGCTTGTATCAGAACTTAATTTCTTCTTATGGCTGAGAAATACTTCATTTTCTATATCTGCTACCTTGTGATCGGGTTTTTTCCCAACTTGGCAGAGCTAGAATTCTCAGTGGTTTGGCAGTGTAGACATGGTAACTCTCCATGAGCTCTCCTAGGGATGTCACCTGCTCCCAATATAAGTGAACACCGTGGGAAAGCTTACTTGCTTGCTTTTTGCTGGACCTGGGTCCTGCCTCTGCCTCCTCCGCCCTCTGATTCTTTGGTCTCAATGACCTGTTGTCTATATTACTTGCTGATCCCAGTTTCTTCTGACGTCCAATGTCATCTTTTCTGCCTTTGCCTTTTGAATGACCTTTTGATTTCTTCATGATGATGTCCTTCGCGTCACTGCACGGCTCGTCTGGTATTCAGTTATTGATGTTCATTCCACCAAATTACTCCTGAGATGGTCTCTGAATTCAGGTGGGATGTACTTACAGTGTGCTTTGGCTCTCGGGGGCTTGTTTTCACATTCAGAAAAGTTTCAATATGGACCTGTACTCATCTGGGTAGAGTAGAGAAACAAAATTCATAGACATTCATGTGTAGAAGAAAGAGCTTTATATAAAAGACCAATTGTATCTTGAGAAAACATCCCAACCCAGTCCATAAGATCAAATCCATAAGTCTGGTATTAACCCATATGTCCAATACCAATCTCTAAATTCCCCTTCAGACTCACGAAACACATGTAGTGACACCAAATACAAGATCACAGGCCACTAGGTGGAAAGTCTTGTGGATCCAGTGGCAGTGTAAGCATCTCAGTGCTGGCGTGGGTCTCCACGTGGTTCCTCCAGCTCCAGGGCACTAGGGTAGCTCCACCCGTCTTGTCAGCAGGAAGGTCTCCCAGGGAGGGAGGGAGGGAGTGTCCTGCCTCCAGCAAGCTATTTATCTCCTTGGTGTTTCCAGATGAGGTCATCAAGCTGCGACCTGATTGACAGGCCAGACTCCACCCCTTCCTCAAGTTGACAAATGATGTAACTGCCACAGGACCCCACGGTCAAAAGTTGCAATCAAACTACTATGCAGTAGTGCAATTCAGGATGCCCAGCTAAGATTCCTGGAAGTGACAAGGGCTAAGTCCATGAGAGAAATGAAGTCCATTGCTAGCACTACTGGATCAATAATACATGGTGGATTCTAGCACTTCCTGCAAAATCTGCTTATGAATAATGGATATGGTGAATGGGTGCCCATAGAACGGCGACACAATGTGAAGTATGTGATCTGTACATGTAAAACATTGTGAACTCATCTAGGTGTGGTGATATTTATTACTGCCAAAACGAACTAATAATATGAATAGCCACAGGTTTTCAACATCTACCACAAGCTTTTTCTTTTTAACTGGTGATTTGAATAGTGTAGGTTATGTGTTAGGTGCTAACCACCAAGTCAGCAGTTTGGACCCACCAGTCACTCGATAGAAGAAAACAGGCCTTCTGCTCCCGTAAGGATTTGCTGCCTTCGAAACTCCTAAGAGCAGTTCTACTCTGCCTATAGGGTCACTATGGGTTGGAGTTCACAATGACAGTGATTTTGGTTTTTCATAAAAAACAATTGGTTTTCGTTCAATAATGCATACACATGGTTCATGCTATTAACTACAACTCCTATAGCTCCATAATTTTTTCCCCACTTCCTCCCTATGATGACCAGTTCTATTCATCCGTGTTTGCTAGCCCTTCCTGCCGTCGGAAGTTTTATGTCTGGATCAGCTGCCCTACGGATCTGTGGTTGATTATCCTAAGCAGCAGTTCTCAACCTGGGGGTCGAACGACCCTTTCACAGGGGTCACGATTCCTAACAGTAGCAAAATGACAATTATGAAGTAGCAACGGAAATCATTTCATGGTTGAGGAACTGTATTAAAAGGGTTGCGGCATTCGGAAGGTTGAGGACCACTGTTCTAAGCGATGCATACAGTGCTTCTTCCCTGGTTATTGTCCACTCTACAGGCCAGTCTTTCATTTGGCTGAAAGCTGAATGACAGGGTTGGGTTGGGTTCCAGACTTGAAGTGTGTCTGAGGATCATCGTCTCAGTTATTCCACTAGTCTTTGTCCCACCATTGAACTGGGTCTTTTTAAATTTGTAAGATTTTGAAGTTTGTTCTTGACTTTTCTCCCACTCCTGCAGGGCCTCTGAGCGTCCTCAGTCGTGGGACCTGGATGCCTTCCAGCTCTTTCGGTCTCAGGATCATGGGGGCCGTGGTTCTGGTGGTCCAGTCGTCCTCTGGCCCCGTTTTTGCCATGTAACTCTGATTTTTGTTACTCTTCTCTACCCTGGGCAGCCAATAGTTGCACCTTTGATTTCTGTTCCCAGCCTTTGAGAATTGACTGAATAGCAGTGGGCTCGTTGACTTCCGCCGTGTTCTGTTCCGTAGGGGTTTAATAACCACCTGCTCTGTATAGCTTACGTTGTGCTGAATCGGTGGTTAGTCTGCTCCTACGAAACTATCCTCACCTGTCGTTGTGCTGCACAAACTATTGCTACAGGCTGAGTCGGCAGTCCCTGCATACTTGCCCTTCACTTCTCAAATAGACAACTGGGCAGTATTAGAAGTATGAATGCGGCTACCCAACAAGAGTCGAGGGAAATCATTCAAAGTCATTCGCCTTGATTTTTAGTTGAATAACAATGTTTCCAATGTCAACTATTGAAGCAACTTAAGAAAAGGCTAATAATTTTAAGTAACTATTTTGTCTGGA